ATCATCAGTGTCGACATCATCTTCGGTCTCAACACCAACTACAACGAGGTATACGCCACTATGATTTAGTTAAATCTCACAGGACGATATGATACTCAAATCTCATATCGCCACATTTCGAGACAATAGCAATACAATTATTACCATAAACAGCTTGCTCTTGTTTCTATCATATGTTGGTTAATATTGTACACTTTCTAAATCAGTTTTTCCCTGTAACCAAACTATTATTATAGTCTATCATAATTCTTGAAAGACCCCTAGGAACCCCCCTGGATGGGTTTTTAAAGGACTTATGTCTAAAGTTGAGTTGTTTGTATACATTCTGAGCCATAATCTTATTCCATGTTTTCATTTTAGTGCGTCTACTACAAGTTCGTCGAGTGTATCAACTTCCTCAAGGTATTTAGAATTTATGTTTAAGTTAAAACGCATTAGACACAGATTTAATTGTGGTAACATCTTTAAAATATGTAACGATAAACTACCTTTCTTGGTTTTCCAACACATAAATTTTGTTAATTTTCTTGTAGTGTGTCGACATCGAGTTCTGCATCAACTTCGTCAAGTGTCTCAACATCGTCAAGGTAGGAAAGAACATGATGGTTTCACGCGAGATCTTTATGTTAACTGAAAACAATCGATCGTGTCATTTATCACTCGTCAGAGAACCCTTTGGATCATTTGCTGTAATTTAATGTTATTGCGTTTCGCAAATGATCCATAGTTTTATTAGCCAATAGTTAGTTGACTGCTACAGTTGTTGCCTTTGTTTTAATTAGTTTTTGCGCCTTATATGTAAAATATTACTTACATTTTGTTGTGTTTTACTTTCTAATCAGCGCTTCAACTTCAAGTTCTGCGTCAACATCATCATCGGCGTCGACTTCATCGAGTGTTTCAACTCCAACAACAACAAGGTATAAATGATATATTTGAGACAATATTTCCGGAGGTGAATATGTTTTTGTTCTCGACTTATCTTAGACATTGAAAAATAGATACATAGATTATATCCCTTAACCTCTTGTAAAAGATAACTTGTTGGTTTTTAGTGTATCTACTTCAAGTTCCGCGTCCACATCATCGTCGATTTCGTCATCATCTAGTGCGTCTACTTCTTCAAGGTGATTGTTAATGTTTTTTATATTGTTTTACAGAGTCTAATTTAATGCAACATGTCAACTTTTTTCTTTTCAACTTCTTTGTAAGAGTAAATATGATTTTTTTGAGATCAACGTCACTTTTAATATCTCTTTATTATTTACTGAAGTTAAATACTCGGTACTCATTGATGTCTACTGCATTATTCTGGATTTTTGGTTTCCAAGAATCTATAAATTTTCTTTACGTTTATAGTTAAGAAGTAGAAGTAGTTAAAGCCTTGACATCTTTTTTTCTTTGACAGTATGGTTTTTTTAAATTAAACTTTTAAGAAAAAGACTTTTCTTAAAGAATGATTAAAATCTCTTTGTAGTGTCTCTACATCAAGTTCTGCATCAACATCATCAAGCGCTTCAACATCGTCGTCAGTATCAACATCATCAAGTGCTTCGACATCTTCGTCAATATCGACATCATCGAGCGCTTCAACATCTTCCTCATTGTCAACATCATCAAGTGCTTCGACATCATCGTCAGTATCGACTTCATCAAGCATTTCGACGTCGTCGTCAATTTCCACTTCATCGAGCATTTCGACATCGTCATCGGCTTCAACTTCATCGAGCGCTTCCACTTCATCATCAGTGTCGACATCATCTTCTGTGTCGACACCAACTACAACGAGGTATGCGCTAGATGCATTCAGTTCAATCTCGTATGAGACTCGCACTAATATTTTCACATTTCGAGGTAGTAGCAATACAATTGAAACTTTGACGGGTGTGCTTTTGTTTCTAGTATATCTTAGATGATACCATACAACTTCTAGGCAGGTTGAAAGCTTTTTTCACTGTAACCAAAATGATCATGGTTTGTTGAAAGACGTACAAGGTTTGATTGAAATTTTAATCCGTGATTTTATTTCAGTGTTTCTACTTCAAGTTCATCAAGTGTGTCAACTTCTTCAAGGTATTTAAATTTTTTTTTCAAAGTTGAAATGCATCAGACACAGATTGCATCAGGTTGATTTCAAGATTTTAAAGATAGACTATTTCTACTTGCCTTTTCAACACTTGGAATCTTTTTATCTCCCCGTAGTGTGTCGACATCAAGTTCGGCGTCAACTTCGTCAAGTGTCTCAACATCGTCAAGGTAAGAAGAACAGAAAAACTTCAGATCTTTATTTTAATTGAAAATAATCCATTGTGTCAATAATTATTAGTATGAGGACCCATTAGAACATTGCCTTTATATATTTTGGTGAATTTTACTTTCCAATCATTGCTTCATCTTCAAGTTCTGCGTCAACATCATCTTCGGCGTCTACGTCATCGAGTGTTTCAACACCAACAACAACGAGGTATAAATTATTCTTTTGCTTCCTTACGTTATCATTACCTTGTACATCCGCTTCTTACAGGTTACTATTAATATTTTGAAGCAACCTTTTACTTTTATTCATTTAGTTTTTAAGAATAAACCTTTTTTGTTTCAAATCACTTTTATTTTAATATCTTTGGCGAATTCAACCTTTTTTTTTATTCGTCATTCGTCATTCTAATTTTATGTCAAAGTGTCTATCTCTGGCCTGTAGACGTTAATGTTCAGATATCTATATAATGTTTTTATGTCTAGAGATAAAATGTAGGAGTTTAACCTATTTGTTCTTTTAATCTTTTCAAGTGAAGCTTTGTTTGAAAGTTACTGTTCCCTTTAATATTTTCTAATGGCTTTTTTGAAGTGCTTCTACATCAAGTTCTGTGTCAACATCATCAAGCGTTTCAACGTCATCGTCAGCATCGACATCATCAAGTGCTTCTACATCGTCGTCAGCGTCGACATCATCAAGTGTCTCAACATCGTCATCAGCGTCGACATCAAGTGCTTCCACATCATCATCAGTGTCGACCTCCTCAAGTGTGTCAACATCGTCGTCAATTTCGACTTCATCGAGCATTTCGACATCATCATCGGCATCAACTTCATCAAGCGCTTCAACATCATCGTCAGTGTCGACATCCTCCTATTTGTCGACACCAACTACGACGAGGTAAGGACTTAATCTTCTTTAGTTTTCAATAATATGATATTATGATATTGAAACTAAAGTTTTGATCGAAAAAAATTTAAGTTAGGCATTTAGAAGTGAACAATTTCATCGAATGGAATAAAATAATTTATATACTGTAAACTTTTTGAAAGTTCTTGAAGTGTAGATATAGTGCGTCCTCTTCTTCTTCGGCAACAACATCATCAAGCACTTCAACATCGTTGTCGATGTCCACATCATCTAGCGTTTCAACATCGTCATCAATTTTGACCTCATTGAGATTCTCGACATCGTCGTCGGCATCAACATCCTCAAGCGCTTCAATATCATAGTCAGTGTCGACATCTTCTGTTTCGCAAGATTTCATTTTATCACAAATCGAGACCGTACGCTTACACTTTCAAGCAGTAAGCCGAGGGTCTCGTTATTCCTGCAATTGAAAAACTCTCATGCGCCATTCTAATGATTGTAAAACTCCGTACAAAGCAAGTTTTGTTTGTAAAAATTTTGATAAGTTTTCAATGAATTAAGCGTGTACAGTTTACACAAGGAACTGATCGATTTTCTTTTTCAGTGTGTCCACGTCAAGTTCATCAAGTGTGTCAACTTCCTCAAGGTATTGAAGATTGGTCAAAAATTTTCATGTTTATGAAAAACAGATATTATTATATATTCTTCAAAGCCGTATTTATCTGCCTTTCTGACGCCTGAGATCGTTTAATTCTCCTCTAGTGTATCGACTTCAAGTTCTGCATCAACCTCATCAAGTGTGTCAACCTCTTCAAGGTATCAGCAAATTATCCATCATTCTATGGAGGACTATTTTGATCACTGTTACTTTATTCTTTTTTTCGTAATTTATAGTAGATGGTATAAATTTATCGGTGAACGTTGTGTTTTTTAATCAGCGCTTCAACTTCAAGTTCTGTGTCAACATCATCATCGGCGTCGACGTCATCGAGTGTTTCGACACCAACAACGACAAGGTATGAATGACATTTTAGTGACCTTTCTCCTGGATCTCTTAAAGTGTTTATTTTATTTTGATTATTCTTTTTACGGCTTAACATAATCATCACGAAAGGGATATATAGACTTTTGTCTCAAACTTTGTATAAAAGTAGCCTTTCTTCACTCCGTCGTGAGTTTCAACATCTTTGTCTTGTTCTTTGTTTGCTAATTCTATGATGAAGTTAAGTTGCCATTCAGATATATAGTTTCATGAAGCGATAGTTTACTTTTTATTCGAAAGATTTTTAAATAACTAGTCATCATTTTGAATAAATTGTGACACATTTTAGTGCCTCTACATCCAGTTCTGCTTCGACGTCTTCGAGTGTTTCAACTTCGTCGTCGGTGTCAACTTCAAGCTCTGCTTCGACATCGAGCTCAGTGTCGACGTCCAGCTCTGCTTCGACATCCAGCTCAGCTTCGACATCCAGCTCTGCCTCGACATCAAGTTCAGCATCCACATCTAGCTCTGTCTCGACATCGAGCTCAGTGTCGACGTCCAGCTCTGCTTCGACATCCAGCTCAGCTTCGACATCCAGCTCTGCCTCGACATCAAGTTCAGCATCCACATCTAGCTCTGTCTCGACATCAAGTTCTTTGTCGACTTCATCATCAGTCTCAAGTTCATCGAGCCTGTCGACCTCGTCAAGGTATGATGATTCCCAAAGCTTGTTTTGGGTGCCCTAGAGTATTATTTTGTTATCGGGAACGAACTTTGTGGTTTAAAATGAACCCGACTGCGATCTCGCTTAAAGGAGAGTAATATATTGAACCTTCACTTTCTCTTCAGTGAGTAATTGCAGTGATCTTGGAGAGGAATTTAACAGAATTCCAGCTGAATATTCGGTGATCTGCGCCATAAGCTTTTGTTGCAACTCAGTAAATGAAAACATTTAAGAAATACGCAGCTTTTGATAATCTTAACTAATTTTTTTTTCATTTCATAAAGTAAAACGCCGACCTCAACTTCTCTCAGTACGTCATCAAGGTACGTTTCATTCTTTCAACCGTTGTTACCTGAAACTTATTCAGATTTTTAGTGGTCAAAAACTCACAAACGAAACGTATTCTTAGTTATGCTTTGAAAGAAATAGCTTTTAACAGTTTGATGTAATTGTCTCCTCGCAGCTCGAGTCTTAGCTCCTCAATTTCTTCTTCAATCTCACCGACTACATCCTCGTCAGTTTCGACATCTGTCTCAAGTAGTAAGTGCTTCAAATATTTTAGCAATCGTTAATCTTTATTTAGAGGAATTTTTCTTGAGTATCACACTTCCCTTCAAATTCTCCCCCCTCCCACCCCATAAAGCTTAAAGCCCTATGTATGAAAAATTATTCGCGTTAATCAATGGTTTTAAATAACTTTCGACTTTTTTATTGTGAAAGCTTACTTGTCGGGGCGTTATTTTTTTAGCAACAACACTTGCTGAAATGTTACAAATCTAGATCGAACTAAATGTTTTTCACATCCCATTGTCACGGCATGCCGCCTTAAAAACCCCTTTAGCTACATTTGCACTTGTGATTAATAATTGAAAAGTACCCATACCAAAAAAAGAGGTTCTTTTCTAACCACAACTGACCTTTTTTGAACAAATTAGGAGGTAATTCTCTCAAGGTGTCTAGTTTTGTCGTGTACGCACGTCACAATTTTTGAAATGCAGAATTCCCACGTTTTTTGGAAGTAATTTTGTTTCACTTTTTCTTTGGCTTCCAGGTTCGATCTGTCCGATTTGTGTATACACAAATAGATTCAATGAAACTGAAAAGCATCACGTAAGTCGAGACTGAGATCCCGATCTTTTTATAACTGTTACCACATATTTCTCGCACTTTTGAAAATATTATTTGTTCCTGTATACTCCATGAACCTCCTTGTTAGTCAGGTGGTCATAACATGTGAATCCATGACAACATTCTGATACATAATGCTGATATAAGAGCATCGGGCTCTCGAATACTCAACCAACTTTTGAGCCAAGCGTGACTGAGTCAACCTCCCTCTCCTAAGATCTGATTGTCAATTCTCCTTCTGGCTGCTACTCAGCTACTCATTTCCTTGTTAATTAGTCACAAGAATTTTGTGTTGGATCACGATAAAATCTACTTGATAAGTTTAAGTATTCTTAATACCAAAGTGCTAGGTGATGCATGAATGTGACAGAGAGAAGCAACAAGTTAATGCTTCTGGGAGTTAAAGGGTAAAAGGAGTGAAATCGGTATTATGAGAGGAGTATCAGTCGTTACTTCGTAAAATTGAGATTCTACTGATCCTTACCCACCAAATTCACACATTGAGAATGTGTGTTATACATTGGTTTCACGACTGACTGTTTTCAAGAATAGCACTTTCTTCAATTTACGATTGCATTGGTAACTTATTTTAAAGCATTTTTCGTTTGCTTATAGGAGGGAGAAACCTGGACGGATGGGCCTTGCAAGACTGTCAAATGTAAAATGGTTTTTAATGATTGCTTTGAAAACAACCAAGTCGCTCAAATAGAAGTCTACATAAAGGAATGTTCTGAGTGTCCTAAGGTAGGTGGATTGCTATTAAAATTGAATGCATTTCTATTTTTTACTTTGTCAAGATAGTTTGTAGATCTGTCGAAATGTTGCCTGGCTAAACACCTAGATAGAGCTTTAATTATTAGCCACCACTAGTCCATTACGACACCCATCAGCGATAATATACAATATTCTTCAAGTATCGGAGCTCGAGATTTTAATTCCTACTCTTTAAAAGTAGTCTCAATTATAGCAGTAGCTGACCGTTGGTTTACTATGGTTACGTCAGTCTATTACATTCAAAGCCAAGTAAATAGTCACTTTAGTTTGATTTAACAAAGTTAAGCTTTTGATTAGCCGAACCCGGCTCGAATTCATCATCTGAAGCCTCCGATCAACCGGTCTGCGTTCATGTTGTCCTACAGTTGCACCTAACCAAACCACACATATCATTTCTACATAAATGTCTTAATGCTGGTCACTAAGGTAGATATCGCTGGGAGCTAAGTTTTTCAGAGCGCCACATTACGAAAAAGTGTTTCATTGACAAAATTTCGAAAGTCATTCACGTTTGAGAAATGCAACTTAGAGTAAAAATTAAAAACAAATATTTTCTCCTCTTTGAAGGGATACGAACGACCACCATCAGAGGATCAATGCTGTCCACAGTGCGGTTTGTATTTCTATTCTTCATACAATTATTTCTAAGTGGGGGGGGGGGGGGGGGGGGGGGGATTAACATGATCGGTCGTGTACCTGGATTTCTCTTTCGAACCAGCAACTCAAAATATAAACAGAATTCACTGTTTTGTTGGCAACGAAGTGTCATTCTCTTTCAAACCTTCCAGTGTAGTATCATTCATAACCTATCAAAACAACTTAGAAATAATCTTTTTTTTTACAGTGGTTTTGCAGGCCCGACGTTTTAAAGGACGCTGATTTAGTTTACAATAATGGCTCATATAAAGACGATATGTTTAATTTATTTTATAGTAAAAACGGAAGACGATGAGAACATCTGCAAACTCCGCCATAGGGCGCCAAGTATCCTTAAATTCCCTGACGGCTGTGAATCAGAATCCGAGGTTAGTCTCACTGAATGCAGAGGTAATTGTGAGTCGAGCACTATCGCAAAAACTCTGCCAGAAGGCTATGGAAGTAAAAACTGCAAGTGTTGCAAGCCGTCTAATAATACCATTGTGACAATCAATTTGATCTGCAAAAATGGAAATGAAATAACGAAAAAAACGGCCGACTTGGATATCATCACGGAATGCGGATGCGGGAGACAGGCATGCGAATCAACACCTTCACACGCAAATGAAGTATTTGTGAACCAAAATGGTGAGATCATGGAAATGAAGAAGAAGCGCCGTCGCCGTGCCTTGTCGCGTCTCTTTGCCCTTCCTCCGTAACGAAAAGTAACAAGGGACATATATTCACTGATAGTGTAGAAAAGAGATAAATTGTGGGCTGAAAAGGAGAAAAAAGGATAACAGAAATGTCAATGGAGTTGAAGGGAACGATGGGATATTTATGTGTACGAGTAATTCTCTAAAGGGACTGGCTTTCTTGAAATAAACTTCACTGAAAGGGATGTAGATTGTGCTTATTCATTTTAGAACTCTGCTTTAGTAAAGAACTTAGTGACAGGTCCGTCAACCCACTGAGGTTCTATTGGATAAATTCTTAGTGGTAACTTTTTTATGAATTCACCTTTTGCTCCAATACCACGGCGTAAAGGTTTCATTATTCTAGTCGTGGACAAAGTGTTACCTACTCATTCTCCCGAGCCAATCTTCTGACTATACGAATAACTTTAAAATTAAAAATCAGCTCACGCGAAAATTTCTCCTTGTTCATAAAGTAAATGGCATCTTATTCGATCAAGATTTCGACTTCGTAGCGATCTGGTTTATTCATGCACAATTTATCAAAGTTTACCAAGGTTCAAATAATGAAAGTTGTGACTTTGTCTTTCAATTGTAAGGATTTCAAAATGATGTTCAGCACCCATATCCAAAGCAAAGATCTATCATTCTAACTCTTTTGATCCACTCTTTATTTTGTTGTTTAATAGTATATTTACAAAATCTTTTTTCCGTTAGTTTAAACTGTAATCTCCTCAAAACGAGTTTTGACGGTGTCGCTCAAAAGATATGTCCGCCATTTTCGATTACTCGCAAGTCTGTCACTATGCAAAGTTTCAGAGAGCAGAAACGGTCAGACTGGGTTAGGTCTGATTACCGCTTTCTGATTGGTTAACAGCTAAATTAGGATGGTTGGGCGGCCCGTTCACTCCACCCTACTCCACTCTCTTACACTGGTGCTCATGTAAATCCAAGCCTAAACATCTCAAAACAATTGAATATAATAAAAATAACATACCTATATCTCATTTTCCCCCGACATACACCAAACACATTGTATCTCATTTAACCTGCCTGCTTGATGAGTACTTCAGGTAGAATAAAGTGATCTATTCATCAATGTATACTTATGCGATGTTTCAGACAATCAGTTTGATGATGACATCAGACGTCAATGTTATTTCATTAATATGTGCAGGAATTTCCATTATTAGTCGACAATGGAAATAATGTATGCAGGCATGTCCAATACTAATCGATAAAACAAGCCTGGATGATCCCAGACAACTACTCGCTTATAAAGTAAAATACGTTTTGGTAAGTCATCGCGGTAAATAACACTTTCATAAGAGAAATAACCGTTTCTCACTATGTGGTCACTTTCGACTGCTAATCTTCTTCAGGCGATGAAGAACTATTCACTCTAAAGTGAAAATCTGTTAAGTATTTCTGCAGCATTCAGTTCTTAGGCTTTTGATCCAAAATTATAGTTTTATCTACAATATGCAAATCAACCGTCAAAATTTATTACTTGGTTTACAAGTGGCCTCAGACGTAAGTTCATTTAACCCGTTGCATTTCGTTACCTATGGATTCGATCAAAAAAGCGAATAATCATGTACAAAAAACACGTAGCTCCTCAAAGCACTCGGTAAACAGGACCCCAAAGTTTTATATTGAAATTTGTTTATTTGGTGTAACCTGTACTCAGCCTGACCCTGGATTAGTCTAACCTTGGAAAAAATCTTCGCGCACACTTAACGCCCCGCGAGATTTTATGCTCAAGATATGATAGTTTGAAGATTCAATCATTTTACAATGGAAGTATTGACGTAAAGTCGTTATTGTTTTCTAAAAGTCTCTGGAATGTGGAAGAGGGCTTGATTTAAGCTGAATAATTGACGCAGCAAAAGGCACATTGCCAACAAATACTAGTCTCTTGTGTCTTTAATGAACAAACATCGTTTGATATAAAGGTTACTCTTCTGAGTCAACAATATTTTAGACAAGTTTATAAAAATAACTTTGCATTTCTTAAACTATTAACTAATATACACGTATCTGAGGACACTATGTCATATTAAGTACAGAGTCCTGTAAAAATACTTCACCTACACTTGTTCAGTGAAGGAAGAAAATCTATTACCTCTGATTAAAGCCGAGACGAATACACTGAAAATAATAATATGAATATCCTTTAAAAACTCTAAGATAACCTATCAAGCACATTGCTGTATAGAAATGGCCAGTCGTAGAAATAACAAAGTGTTGTCAACGTATTGCGTGAGTAGGGGG